GAGACTCTTTTAAGTTTGAATGAGTTGTGCGTGTACATAGACTCCCATGACTTCTGCTTTGTAGCATGTGAGCTGCCAAGAATGGAACGGACATGGGCAATCACTCAAAGAGGATAAAACAGTTACTAACTTTCCATAATAGTTGTTCTTCAAGATCTGTTGTACATGTCCATTCCACAACCCACTTTCCTACCCCTCTGGGTTGGAGTTGTATGGTGAAAAGGAAAGGGGGAGGGCAGGTTTTGGGGAAGTTGGTGTTATGCAACGGCAGAGGGTGATTGAACCGCACTGATGGGTAACACTGAGGAAGAATTTTCCAGTGACTGAGTGTGGGGTGCACAAACACCGAGTGCAATGGACATGTGCAACACATCTTAAACAACAGTTATGGAAGATTAGTAGCTATTTTTTTTCTTGCTTTTTCAACTCCCAATTGGTCTCTTATCTTTGAATGAACTAGTCAGTGAGCTGAACTAGTTGAATAAACTGAAATAAAGAAAACGTTGTCTGCATCTGCAGAAGAGACTGCTGCTATCCAAAGCTGGTTTAGCATTCCAACAAAGCCTGGTTCCAGGTGTTTGCCAGTGACTTCCACCAGTTCAGTGATATAACTTTCTTTAAAACTTGGCAGCAAACATGTACTGCTTAATATTATTTTTTAAAATGTTCTTAATTTAAATTATTTTAATAGGTCATAATACATTTAGGCTTTAACATAAATTGTCATTTTAATTATAAATAGGTTTGTTTTTTATTAAATTAAATACAGGTTTATATTTTTTAAAAATCTGGTTTTAATAGTCCAATTTTATTTATTTATTTATTTAAAAATCAACTTTTTTATTCACCATGGGGCAGCTGGTGGTAAATCCTTCTCCAGTTCGTGAGCTTGCAAAATAAGACAAAACTCATTTCCAAAGGGCCTCCCAGATTCTGGCTATGTCTGCACTAGAAATCTTACAGCGGCACTAGGAGAGAGCTCTCCCACTGGCATAATTAAACCACCCCCAATGAGAGGCAGTAGTTGTGTCAATGGGAGAGCATCTTCTACTGACATAGCACTATCCACACTGGCGTTTCTGTTGGTGCAAATTATGTCAGTCAGGAGTGTGGTTTTTTAACACCCCTGACTGACACAAATTTTACTGAAGAAGTGCTAGTGTAGACATAGCCTAAGAGTTAAAGGGTTTTTTTAAAATATTTTTTTAAATAATCTAGTCACACTTAAAAGTATTCACTGACCAAAAAAACCAACCTTCAATAATGCAGAGTTAAGGTATCTCGTGCCCTTCACAGACAAAAGTGCTGGTGGGGTAGGGTTACCATACGTCCAGTTTTTCCCAGACATGTCCGGCTTTTTGGTAATCAAACCCCCGTCCGGGGGGAATTGCCAAAAAGCCTAACATGTCCGGGAAAATACCGGCTGGGCACTTCCCCTCCCGCGGCTGCTCTGCTCCTCCCCTGACTCTTCGTCTCTGTTTAAGAGCCAAGCTGCCAGAGCACTCTGGCTTCGGGCAGCCCCCATGCCTCTGGACCCTGAGCCGCCGGCCGGGCACTTCCCCTGCCGGGCTCCAGCTGCTCTGCTCCGGCGGCGCAGGGTCCGGAGGCAAGGGGGCTGCCCGAAGCGGGAGCGCTCGGGCAGCTTGGTTCTTAAACAGAGCCGAAGAGTCAGGGGAGGAGCAGAGCAGCCGCGGGAGGGGAAGTGCCCGGCCAGGGGCGCAGGGTCCGGAGGCAAGGGGGCTGCCCGAAGCGGGAGCGCTCGGGCAGCTTGGTTCTTAAACAGAGCCGAAGAGTCAGGGGAGGAGCAGAGCAGCCGCGGGAGGGGAAGTGCCCGGCCAGGGGCGCAGGGTCCGGAGGCACGGGGGCTGCCCGAAGCGGGAGCGCTCGGGCAGCTTGGTTCT